GGTCACCAAAGGCTGCCCTCAAGGTGGGGTACTATCTCCCCTTCTGTGGTCGCTCCTGGTGGATAGTCTGCTTGATGCCCTCGACAGAAGAAAACTTGATCTGCAAGCTTATGCTGATGACCTTGTCATCCTCGCAAGGTCCACGTCAGGAAGGGTAGCTTGTAATATCCTCCAAAGCGCGTTGGACGTTGTTCACAGTTGGTGCCTGAGGGAGCAGATATCTGTCATCCCCAGCAGAACTGTGTTAATACCCTTCACCAAGAGAAGAAAATTGGACAATCTAACGCCACTTTCCCTCAATGGGGTGGTCATTTCATTTGGAACGGAGGTGAAATATCTTGGCATTGTCCTTGATAAAAGAGTCACCTGGAACGCTCACTTGGAAAAAGTTTCACATAAAGCCAGACTGTCTCTATGGACACGTCGAAGGATTTAGAAGTTTTCCTACCTGGCAGAACATTTTCAGATATAGGTCTCATTCCGCACCTCTCATGGTATATAATTATAATAATAAAATCCCCATTCACGAATATTTTGATGGATTTATATATAATGGAGTTTGGTGTATTATTCTGAGATGAAGGTCTCATTCAGCTCCTTTCATAGTAAAGTAATCCTGAAAAAAATTCCATTCCATTAAAAGCATATAAGGGTGTGTGTGCTCAACAAAATATTCTGAAATACATTGAGATACATTCAGCACCTCTCATAGAAATGAAATAGTTTGATGAAATTATTGAATTTCATTTCAAAAGCAAATATATAAAGGGTGTGTGGAGAAAGTTTTTATGTCCGGCAAAACATTTCGAGATGTAGGACTCAGTCAGGACCTCACACAGTATGTAATTATGCCAAAAAATTCCCTTCTACCAATATACTGATATTTCTGAATTTTATTTTAAAAGCATATAAGGGTGTGTGGAGAAAGTTTTTATGTCCGGCAAAACATTTCGAGATGTAGGACTCAGTCCGCACCTCACACAGTATGTAATTATGCCAAAAAATTCCCTTCTACCAATATACTGATATTTCTGAATTTTATTTTAAAAGCATATAAGGGTGTGTGGAGATCGTTTTTCTGCCCGGAAAAATATTTTGAGATGAAGGTCCCATTCAGCACCTCTCATAGTAAAAAAAACTAATCAATACAGTTTATTGCATGATTTTTACTATAAAAGGATTTTACAAAAACCGCGACACGTGTTTCGCTATACAAGTTTATGCTTGAGGAAGCTATAGTATAGCGAAACACGTGTCGCGGTTTTTGTAAAACCCTTTTATAGCGAAAGTAATACAATAAACTGTATTGATCAGTTTTTCGATATGGATTATCATCAAGTATCGGCCAGTTCTATTCAATCCTTTCATAGTATGTAATTATGCGAGAAAAATCCCCATACACCAATATTTTGTTGTAGTTATGAATTTTATTTTAAAAGCATATAAGGGTATATTGGGGTGAATTTTCTGTCCGGCAAATTATTCTGAGATATAGATTCTATTCAGCACCTTTCATAGTAATATTCTCATAGAAAAAAAATCCTGGAATTTTTTTATGGAATTATTGAATTTCATTTTAAAAAACATATGAGGGTGTGTGGGGGTTGTTTTTTGCTCGGCAAAATATCATTCTCATAGTAATGTAATCAAACAAAAAATCTCCATATATTTCGATGGAGTTATATATAAGGGAGTGTGGGAGTAGTTTTTCTGCCCGGCAAAATATTTTGAAACATAGGTCTCATTCAGCACCTTACATTGTAATGTTATCATGAAAACAGTTTCTGTCCACCAATATTTTGATGGAATTATTGAATTCTATTTTGAGAGCAAAGAAGGATGTGTGAGGGTTATTTTTCTGCCCAGCAAATAATTATGAGTTACAGGTCCTATTCAGTACCTCTCATAGTTTGTAATTGAACAAAAAAACTCCATTCACGAATATTTTAATGGAGTTATTGAATTTTTTCCAAGCTTATAAGAGTGTGTGGGGGTAGGTTTTCTGTCTGGAAAAATATTATGAGATACAGATCAGATCCTCTAATCAATATAATTAATCAATACCATTTCCGCAGTAAATTTTCATTAATTTTATATTGAATAAAATCGTAGCTGTTCTCTAATTTGTAACACATTTCGGGTGCCACTGTCGACCGTGTGCCGTTAGTTAGGGAAGCTATAGATGATGCTGTAGACGACCCCTACCGTCTCGCCTCATTCGACTCTGTCGAATGAGGCCCTCATGCCCCCTGTTAACGGATGAACAACTTTTTCATCCATCCCACCCCAGCCAGGAAGGGGTACACCGTGAAGGGCGGTACTGAACCCATTTGTCTCTCTGACAAAACTCAGCTACAAGGGTAAGAGAGCTGGGTTCCAACTTGATGAACACGAATATTACACGAACAAACCGTGTGCCGTAGACTCCTGCTTCAAACCCATTCATGGCTAGAAATCCGTACCTGCCTTCACACTCGCTCAATTTACCGCATTATTTAGATTTATGTGTACCTATACGTCTTGACACTTTCACGGTACATATGAGCTCTTAATCTAACCAAATACAACAAATGAATGAGTTTAAAACAATATTAGATGATGAAATATACATTAGCAAACTATACTATTAGACAAAATGATGATAGCAACTTAGTGATTACGGCATTTCCACCAACTAGTTGAAATCAAACTTCTAATATGCTTATGTTCTGGTACACAAATGGGGGAATCAATTCAGTGGAAATCCGAAAGATAAATCAGGATTAGGGATGGATGATTTCCTTGAGAGTGTAGAAGAATAAAAAATAATATCACGAAAAGTATCGGATAATGAACTGAAATATTCTCTTACATATCTACTTATTGGGAACTCATTGTTTTGGTATTGTTTAGTGAAAGATAATGTTAAATTTTAGTCTGATTTTGTTGAACTTCTGAAATAAGAATTTTTGCATTCACATATGAAAGAGTTATCAAAGAAGAGATTCGTAATAGTAGAGGGGGAGTTAACGAATGATGAATGTATTCAAAAGATGTCACATTCTCCACTAGAATCGAAAAAATAAAAATTTGGCGCCAAAATATAGATCTTTATTATATCCACGGTTTGGGTTTACGTCTTTATTATAACACTTTTGTTGATCATTTATTACAAGAATGCCAGAAATTGGAAAAAACTAAACACTTATCCAAAAGTCGTTCTCTACCCAATCGAAAGTTATGTCTCCTTGAAACCGATTTGGCCTGTCCTAGTTCAAGCCCATTGCTTCAGGTAAATGATATTTCTTGTACTGATGTTTTTCTAAATATTCAAAATCTCGTTCGCGGGAATTTTGTTTTCGCTACGGAATACCGTAGTTCATTAATGTTTTTTTTTTAATTTCTGGTTCACTAGTGACTAAAAAAATATTGCGATTCTTCATAATTTGAGGAGATGACCGCTTAATTCAAATATTGATTAAACAGTTTGGAAAAAAACTATCATATCCGATATGGCTAGTAAAGTTTCTCCTAATGTATACTCTATGACCCTTTTTGTATCTGGCAATTTTAAGATGAATGGCTGCATGCAAATTCATTAATTTCGTTCTCCGGATAGAATGAATGATGTTAATTGTGGCGCGGGTATGCGAATTCTATGGGGAAAAAGTTAGGAAAACACCTGATCATATATTTCGGTCGACGAGATCGCCGAATATTAGTCTATTGTGTATTAGTATTCTTCAACGTCTCATAATTGCGTCAGATTTTTATACAGGAGGTGAGTTTTCGAAAATTAATATAATATTCGGTTTTATACCTCGTCCTTTCTCGATGAGACCGTAACAATTTCAGTGGCTTTCTAGACGTTTTATGATACTGCTCCGGCTTTTATTTCCAATGTTACAGAGAAATAACAATTTATGGTACCTGGTATGAAATCGAGAAAGGTTAATGCAGACAAGCTGGTGGAAAATATAAGAAGTAGGTGCTTTCTAAGATGGACTTGTTTTGGTCTTTGGACTTGGTGTAAAACTTTTATTATACAATATTTACTGTTATTATATCTATACCATTCTCATATTTTTTTCATTTGAACTAGCATATCTAATAATAATGAGACTCACGCCCGACTCCACTGAGATTTGAGTCGGTGCATGCACCTAAACTATTCAACCTCATTGAAAAAACCAAAAATTACAAATCAGCTCAATGCCTTTTTGGCAATCGATCGTCTTTATTTTCTTGACTGAAATTGATTACGAAGCGTCTCCAAGTACGAATTGAATTGAAAAAAAAGTTGAAAAAACCATTTAGTTTTTTTCATTCTCCTTCAAAACCATGTGGAGATGAATGGACCAAACGTCGTTGATTTTTGAAAAATGTGTCACTTCATAAAAATGAAATCAATCACAACGAAGTTTCCATAACACATTTCTTTTGAAGGCAATAAGGCTTTGAACGAACATAACATAACCTGAATCATATTTACGTATCAGAAAGTGATGGAATTTTTGATATAGTTAAGAGCGTCATCATAAAAAGTATGCATGGAAAATTGAAAAAAAAGGATCATCACATTAGGCTGATTTCTCCACGCTGGGTATTTTTTGTGAGACCCTGTCGAAACAGCGTTTTTTGATGTTGGATCACGAATGCTTTGTTTCTAGGCACTAGTTCGAACTAGTTGTCTTGCAGTGAAAGCTGTTTGTTCAGCCTAGCCACTGATATATTGGCGGGTTGAAACGATGTTGTCTGGTGTTAAATTATAATTGTTTTATTTTTGGGTTCTGATTTCAACCTCCTCTTTGTTATTGTGGAATCTTCACAAATGATTAGCATATTTATGAATTGAAAAACATTATTTCTCAAGATACGAATCTTATTGAATTGTATGCAATTATATAATATATTTCAGGCTCAACTGGTACAAACTGTTCATAAAGTTCACGAAATGTAAAGTATTTTTTGTATTCTTGTTATATTCGGTATCCAAAAGAGTAACTTCATGTTTGTTTCAGTTCATCAAACGACAGACCTTTTAGAAGATTGCCAGAAGCTACTAGAGAGGTTCAAGTACCCCTGGGAAATGATGCCATTGATGTATGCCATTCTCAAAGACGCCAGAGCGGATTTAGAGGAAGCATCTAGGAGAATAGATGAAGGTGAGTTTTACTTTAGATTAGAGAAAAAAAAAACATATTTATTTTTTCTCACAGATAAAAAAAACATTATAATATATTGTGGAAAGTAGGCACTTCGAAATTATTGTGAACTCTTTAAATATATTTCAAATCTGATATTATTCAGAATCAGCATATTTATGGAATATGTATTCAAAATCATTGTCAGTATTGTTATGTAGCCTATTTTGAAGGTGAATCAAAGTAGTGAATAATTTCAATGGAATTTTCGTCCAGTCATATGGAAATTTTAATTCTTGTGAGGATTATAGTGTTGTGAAATAATTCGAAAGAAGAAACTTCATACTCATAATAAATAATTCCCTTCGACAGATTGATGTCTGGAAGAATATTCTATATGATTTGCCAATATAATTCATTTTTGAGAAAAAATCTAATTATATTTTCAGTTCCTTGAATCAGGGAACTTCAGCATATTGAAATGTTTTCGAAAAAAATTAAAATTGATTAGAAATTGCTTCTCTATCGCAATGAACAAATAAGCCTAACTCAAGGATAGATTGAATCTGTACTACATTTCATACAGCCAACATTTCGATATTTTCATCACCAGAAATCTATTGAAGGCATTCTTATAAACAATCAACGATGGATCGGTGTTCTAGTAAATGTAATATTTTTTTTTTTGAAGTTGAAATCAAGAAATCATTCAACATTACTCTCTTCTGATATAAATAATGAGGCCGATTACAATTTTCCCAATTTTTTGTCATGTAGATATACTTGTCTGACGTGAATCCTCATATTTGAAATAATGGACCGGTTGAATTCGAAAATGAAATATATGTTTATATGTTGAATAAACATCACATTTTCGCAGAAGATACGAAAAACTGGGAAATACAAAATGAGCAAGAAGTGTAATGGAATATTTCAAACGGAGTTGTTCACAAATTTTCCAAATAATTACCGGTTTTGGAATAGGTTTTTTATCGTTTTGGGTTGAAGAAAATCGGTATTCTTACATTTTTTAATCATCTGTATAATTCATTGCACATTAAGTTTTGACAAATAATTTTACACTTCATAACACTGAACTCCATTTTTATAACAAATAAGCATATGAATACTGGATTTCAATATTGTTTTGGGCAAAAAAATTCAAAATTAGATATCAAGAATATTTTCGAAGAATTTTTGCATTCTTTCCGAATTTGGATGTTTATTTTTGACTTCGAAGAGAAAATAGAAATTAATATTCATATAATATATTATGAAACAAAGTTTTTGCTTTCAGTTGAACCTTATTTTAAAAACGATAGCTAATCAGTTATTTCAGCACTACAATCTCTTGAAAAAATTCACCTTCAAAAAGGTTTTTTAGACATATTCAAACGAATTTTATTTTTTGTGAATGTTGTCACGTGATCAGTGGTGAGTGTTTCAGGTTTGGAAATCGCATAAAATTGTTGCCTGGCGAAACTTCTTAATTTGTACAAACTATTACTGAATAAATGGAAAATTTATCACTGGTTAGAGGCAACAAGCAATCATAAAAATATGTACAAATAGCATTTATTTTAATCTTTACGTTCTAATAAAAACACCATTAGTCCGATTTTATAGCCAAACTCATTTTTATTACCAATTTGTTGTAACTTAATGTATTTTGACCTGATAGGATTTCATTTACATGAGCATTGTCTTTTATTTTAGAACCTTTTATTTTTAAAGAAGATTTTTTGCATTCTTTTGATTATATATAATTGAGTTTTTTAAGTTTATTGATCATAAAATTATTCTATTTTTAACAAATAAATGTCAGTGCCATTCGAGGATGGATTGCATTTCATGTGAACTCAAAATTTTTCTGAAAATATGTTTGCTTCCAAGAGTCATGTGAAATCGAAATTATAAAAAAACAGATCATCGGAAAAGAAAAAAATAATAAAACTGTAACGTTTCTATGTAAGTATCTATGTGCACCATGGGCGTCGCCAGGATGAAAGTCAAAGGGAGTCGAAGTATTCAAAATTGTAATTATTCAAGGAACAACATATAAACTGACCAATTCAATTATAACATCAAACCATATATAAAAATCACAAAACCATAATTATCTCAAGAAATAGAGAAATAAATATACAGTCATATTTTTTGTACCTATGAAACAAAATATTCATATACAAAAATTACTTGGAAAAAAAAAACAATATTTGAATGAAAATTTCATTTTTCTTCAGTCTGAACCAAAGAGGTTGATAGTTTCTGCAATTATATTGTCTTCGATCCTCTTTCTATGAACACTCAACATACATATTCCTGACAGTCTCTGTTCCATCATAACAGTTCTCAGTCACGTCTTTACTCTCCTTAAAATACTGAATGACTTTTCCACAGAACATGCTGTTGGAGGTATAGTAAAAGTATTTTAGTAGCTTTTAGTATATAGGGAAAAAATGCACACTCGTTTGAAGCTACTTCAGAAAAATCGAAGTTTTCATACTTTTCATCAAATGTTAGATTTTTCCAAATAGTGATCCAAGTATCATATTCTGCATTGAAATTGTACAACTGATACTTCGTTATCAGAGTTTGTATAGTATCCTCATAAATAATCTTTTTTCTGAATATCAATTGGGTGTAATGACGACAATGGAAAGGCTACTGACGAATCTTCCGAAAAGCGACAAAACAATGATGTTAGCAATGAATCAAAATAAGGTATGAAGATGTTGAGTCTGAAATATTCTTCAGTTGATGAAGTACGGATATAAGGTCGGTACGTTTGTTTTTTCAGTATTCTTAGAGATATACTGTCAATATCAAATATTTCCGATATAACTTTTGCGTCGTTGAATAATGCTGAGAATCGCGTAACTGAATGTTGTCGATCAATTTTAAATACTCGAGATTGTTCGATATATTTTTTCAAAGAAAGCAAGTCAATACTCACAGCTTCGAGTTTATTAGCGAACTGAGAAGAACATTTTTTATAGTCACCAAAGAAATCATAAAATTCGAAGATGACATTGTAGATGAAAGTTGAAAAGCAGTAGTTCTCGTTCTGGAGTCAAAATGTACATCGTTTGAAGCTATGGTTTGCATTGCTGAGTGTACGTCAAGAATTTTATCAGAAAACATACGAATTGATTGATATTTTACAGTCCATCGTGTCTCACATAGCAATGGAATATGTGATACCAGTTGTCTTCGTTTAACACTTTTCCTAAAAAGTCGAATTATAGAATCAAACGAACCTATAGTGTTCTGTATTCGTGGAACAGCATTCAAATCATTTACAACTAACTTCGGTTTGTAGTATTAACAATGGAAGTAGATTGCAGAAGGATATTGCGAACGGATTTTCTATTACACGCCATTGTCTTTTCCAGACATGGCGCTGCAACCATCGATTCCCAACTCATATAACTTATCTAAATTCAAATTCCACTCTTCATAAGTGTCGATAGTCGCAGAAGCTATTGTAGTAGCATCCATCTGTTTCATTTCGGTGAATCCAAGAAACTCTTCTTTTACTATTAAGTTATTGTCTAGATATCTTATATCACATGTTTCATCAGCAAATATTGAAAAACCATCACTACTATTTATTTCATCACTAATAGTTTTTATGACAACGCTGCTTAATAACTTGATTATTCTATTCTGAGTTTACACTGAAGTTTATTTTGCCTCGACACGTGTTTCGATCACCAAGTGATCATCTTCAAAGAGGAAGATTAAAACTGAATATCCTCTTCCTCTTTGAAGATGATCACTTGGTGATCGAAACACGTGTCGAGGTGTTCAAAATAACGATTTGGTGTTGGGAAAAAACTCCAGTAATATTCAATTATGATGATATTATAGATGTCAACTTTTTTCTATTTTCTTCAATCAGTTGTTTTTCTGAATAATTAATTAGTTCAGATATTGTAGAAGACAGTCCAGAAAATATATTCAGGAATGAAATCGCTCTGCTTTTTGAGTACCCTTGCCATTCTGAATCTTCTTGCTTTTCTGCACTTTCATGAATATGCTTAAAATTTGTGAATTCTTGAAGGATGAATGTACCTAAAACACCTCGTTTCACGACTGATCGAAATAGTACAAAATATTTACATAGTGCATCCTTCAATTTTTTCGAATATACAATCCACTCATATCGATTGAACCACTCTATAATAAATGGCCTAGATTCTTTGGTCTTGATTCAGTCGAGTATAAATCATTATCATTCATATTCTTAGGAGAAATTATTGTCGAATAGTCACTAGTGCCAGCTTGTGGTTCTTCATGAATAACTTTCGCTTTTTTTCGCGGAGGTGACTTCATCTCCCTGTTTTCTTTCTCGAAAAAATTTCGAATATCCATTGCCAAAGCTACGATTAGCAAGAAAAACATATTTTTTATCAATGGAATATATCAAGAAATGAAAATAAAACTCACCAGTTAATTGAAATCACAGTAACCTCTTTACCAAACTTTTTGAGAAAAGAAGTATTGCACACTCACGTAGAACTAGAACAATACTGAAATTTGTCGATACCAGTTTGAAACATGAAACAATGCTACCTGCGACTGTCGGAGGAAGGAGATGAGGTCTCGGGTTCTGTCAACGATAGGGCAGTAGCTATAACCCATAACCCATAACCAATCCGGAAATCAATTTGTTTTTGTTATGACCAATCGTACCGAGTACGTACATTTTTGATATAGGCATAAATAAATTTATGTTGCCAGTTTTCAAGGGGGGATAAGCCACCCCCCCTTGTCCTGCAGTGGCGACGCCCATGATGTGTACCTTTGAAAGACCATAGCAATAGAGGCCAAGCAAAACATTTTTGAATATACTACAAACACTTTTGTATTCTTAAAATGTTAATAGAAATGTTGAGTTTTCACAGAATGAAGGTGAGGAGTTATCATGAAATCAAAAATTATTATTTCTATTAAATCGACTTCTATTTGTCATTCAATATTCTAATTTGACATAATAACATCATCGAATGGCATTC